AAGAAATAAAAGTGTTCTAAAGGCCTTATGTTGTTTGACACTGATAGATAAATATAAATGTAAATTGTGGATAGAAATTTAAAGGTAATCACTAAGTGGACAAAAATAAGTTGTGAAACATCTAAACGGGAACAGAAGAATTAGGAAAGATCTATTCAGCAAAAAGAAGAAAAGAAAAAAAAACACTCAATGAATAGCAAACATAAAATAATTTGGCTATCCCACGGTGGGAGTGATTTAGATTTCTCTGCTGTGGTAAAATGCCTTTACCTCTCATCTTTCTCTCCATGTGTTTGTGATGAGCCTTAGGGATTCTGAGGGTCTCACGAGACAGGTGAAGAACTGCCCCACCTATCGCACCACCCTGCTCTCCTAGAGCCCCCAAGCCCACGTGAGGACCCTCTGAGCTCCCTGCCTTCCGCAGCCCAGCCTGCTCCTCCTTTCTGAGCTCAGGGCTTAGCTAGTGCTCAGCCATGACTGCGTTCCGTTCCAGGTCTCTTGGCTCTCTCGCTTTCTCCATCAGTGTAATCCCATTTGCTTCCTATTTCCCTCAATTGCTCAAAATTTCTGCCCTATTAAGTGCCACCATTCCTTGTTATCTAATAGAGCCCTAATTTTTTTTTACCAAAGCCCTGAAACAAAGTGTTTTTAATATTATCTAATTTTACAAAGTTTGTTAAGAAAAACAGAGGTCCCCAAACTTCTCTCCTCTACTTCTCCTCCCCCAGAGATCATTTCTTGGCTGTTTTCTTCCATATCTCCAAATCACAGACTTGTATTGCTACTTCTCGACCTTTCTATTTGGAGCATCATCTGTTGAACTCCCACTGTGGAAGATGAGAATTTACTTGTTTTCTCCCTCACCCCACCCCTTCTAATACAGTTATATGTAATTTTGGTCAATTCCATATTCAGTATTTACATTATGATACCTATGTCTGTTTTATTCATCTTAGAGTTGAGTCCTGTAGCGAATATGATTGCTTTCTCTGCAAAATTTTGTTTCTCCTTGTATTAGTAACT